GTTTTGTTTCCATTTCTGTCTAACAACCCAATTCTCGCTTGTAGTCTCATTCATCAGAATATCGTGGAAGAATACCAATTTTACCAGAGAAGGCAGAGTCATTAGTCCAACAATCGGCTAAAACATTAAGGCATACACAACTATTGAATGAATTAGCCAGATCAGTGCGTCAGTTAAAACATGAAGTTATGGATGGTGAGATGGATGCACAAAGAAGGTAAGTCCAGATGACTTAATCTGATGTGATGTTTGTACGTATTCCAAATCATTTGAATGGTTGTCGCTGCTGGCAGTGAAACCCAGTAGGCGCGCGTTTTGTCCTAAGTGGAACTGATCATATGAATGTACCTGCATCCTCAGTTAAATGGGTAACAGTGCTCCTGCTGAGATTCTAACTCGCCAGCTATATCTCTTTGGCCTCAAGCAACACATCCTGTATAACCAGTACCGGATATTGTTTGTTTGGTTTATTTTGTATTCTTCCTTGATTGATTAATAATCTGGACTGAAGTACAGTGTTGACATGTAGGCAGCATATAGTGTGGATGCTCCGACCATGTCTGAAAATTAACATGATATATTCACGAAAAGGCAACGAAGACACGAGTTCAAGTGAACATAGAGCGAGAGTTATTCAGCCAGAAATATTCCATCTAACTGATCCAGGCAGCATCGCTTGAGCGACAGGTGGTGCGGGTCAGGATATCAAAGACAGTCCGGATAGGAAAAGCAAGACATGTGTTCACTAATCTGAAATCAGTGTTGGGAGCCACAACACGTAGCACAAGGGATAATATCCCCATTCTAAACACGAATATGAAATCATTTATGGTTCATAGACTTCTTGAGCCATCATGAGCATTTCTAACAGCCTACTTCAAACTTTCGTCAACAGCTGGTTTCGTCGACTGGATAATGAGGAGCACACAACCAGTCGGAAAAAGCAGGTGACAGTGAACTCTGGCAGCGAACCGAACAGCAACCTTTTGTTCAAAAAATATCCAGAAGGAAATAGAGATGAACCGGAAATAGGCGATGAGCAGACCCCTTGAGAGACATTACTCATAAGATAGGCCGTCAAGAAGAATCCAAACGGGATGTAATACATTGGGCATGAGTCCAAGGGTGCTACTAAAGGATGGGATGAAGTGAAAGCTATTGGGCAATCATGGAGACAAGTAAAGTGAAATGGCGGAAAAAAGACTAAACTGGCAACATGGCCTAGCTGGAACCTTGAGTTCCAACTGGAACCTAAGGGAATAATAATGAAATCAATTAACAATACTGACTAGTAATTGTATTAATTAATCTTCAAGAACATTGTGTGTATACATAAGTTTCTCTTCATTCTCACAATTCTTGCATTTATTTTTTCCCGTTTTGTTGTTTTCGCGATACCTACCATCGTACTGTGTGATATGGGTAAATTCCGTGTTGTTGTTGATGTTGTGATACTTGTTGTTTTCAATGTTTCAATTACACTACTGTTTAAACCGACACAAATAAATCAATAAATAAATGTAGTACATTTGTCTTAAAAAGGCATATCAAAATGTTGGCTGCTAATCAGCATTACCATGATTGTTGACTTTCGTTATCCATTGACTTTCGAACCTTATGGTTTTTGTTGTCGTCATCATGGTTGTCATGACGACGGTTAGCATGTTAACTGTTTGAATACTTCCAATATATACATATATGCATGCACACATACTTGGTATATGTATATACATTTCGCCTATATCCCATGTTTTTCGTAAAAAGGAAGAATTTAAATATTTATTCATTTAATCAATGTACAACTTAACGTTTTGCTCTTTTTTGTCTTAAATCGAAAAAAAATTAGTTATTCAGTTGGTCGACGTGATGAAATTAGTAATTCTTCGTGTGCTACAGTCACTTCAGCTAATCGGGGGCCTTTAAAATCATCATCTAGTACTACCTTACAACAGACAATATCAACTGAATCAGTTCGACGAAATTTCCCGCCATCTGATTACTATCCAATAATACATTTAAACAAACAGTCAAACAGTATTAATAATATTAGTAGCACTAGTAATATTAATAAAGCACGCCCACAATCATCAATTGACTATACACCTGTTTGGTGTTTGGATGATACAAAACAGCCTGGAAATCGACCAGTAAGTCAGTCAAAAGATGGAACTGTGTCGTGTTATCATACAGATGGCTGTCAACAGTATTCTGCTTCTTCTTCTTCTTCTCTTCGTAAGCCTTCTGCATATCAGATACCATGGAAAGAGGAAATATCCATTGAAAAGTAAGTTTGATGTTCAAGGCATACTTTTATTTATTTTCAATGATAACTGAAATAATAAGCTATTTGGTTAATGGTGGCTAGCAGTATCATCTAGAATTCCTTTTTCTCCCTATTTCAGACGCCAAAGCGTTATCCATTAGGCTACTTGAACGACTGGTGCTAGGTCCGAGTCTCAGTAGAGATTGTAGGTCCATCCTGGTGATGAGCTCTTGATAGGATGAAATGTGCGCCATGCATTCCACTGTTAGTCATCATACATCAAATTACATTATGTTAATCCTCAGGAATCGTCGAAGTCTTCCTGTTAGAAGCCAACCGTCGGTCGACTATAATTGATTAACAGATAGTATAAAATGAACTTAAACAAATAAGTATTGTCTATGTTTCAATAAGGTGAATTGTAGGCTCTTTGAACGTTTTCACTGGTGGGTGAAGATACATAGTTATGCATGCAGAAGCATCATCCTTGTTCGTTGAGCAACGTACTGGATTGGGAAAGATAATTAGTGGTGGTCAAATCCAAAAGAATTAGAAGAATTCATGAGATGTTTGACTGTTGGTTTGAGCCGACCGAGATAGGAGTAGTAGAGTGTCTGGCGGGTTAGGGTCATTAAGAGACTGTCATTACGGATGTGATTAAGAACCATTCTCAACGGCATAGATGTTTTTATTCTCTGTAATCTCTCACATCCATTATATCCTCATTATTCTCAGTGTACTTGTTCTCTACCCCACACACTTCCATTCACTATAACTCCCTCTCACTTCTTTTTTCTCTGCCCAAATTTGCATGTTTATAAAGTGTGGTCACTTGAATAGCTCCCCTATCTGTACAAATGTCTATTTACTACGGTGAAAAAAATGAGTTCAACTCAATTTTTGTGAAATATCTCCAAAATATTTCTACTTGTGTATTATTATTATTGCTTCCTTTAATTCCTAGAGGAACATAGGGCTTCAGCCGTGCGTCTCTATTGCGTTCGGTTCTCTGCTAGAGTCTTCACCTGGCTCCAAGTCTGCCCACACGTTTTCATCTCCTCTTCACATGACCTCCTCCAAGTCACCCTTGCACTGACGACCAACTCGCCGCTTCCCTTTCGGTTTCCACTCGAGCAATGGCTTGTCTAGTGATGTCACTTGATGGTTTCCTCAGAGTATGGCCAATCCATCTCCATTTCTTCCTGCTTATTTGTTTCACGATCGGTTCCTGCTGTGTTGGTTCGCTCCCAGAGATCCAACTCTGTTGCTGATCTTTTCTGGCCATCTGATCTTGAGTATTGAGCGAAGACAACTGTTAATGAAGGTCTGTAGTTTGTTTGAGATGCTCTTTATGACGCGCATTGCAAGTCTCTGATCCGTATAGTAGCACTGACTGACTTCACATTGGAGTTACAAATCTGGATCTTACTTTTGATGCTGAGTGCTTTTAACCTTCACACAGGATTGAGAGTAGTGAAAGCTTGTCTTGCTTTTCCAATTCTTGCTTTGATATCCTCGTCAGTTCCGTCCGCCTGTAGTTGAAACGATGCTTCCCATGTCGGTAGGTGAAAGAGGTTGTTTCTTTCAGGTTCCTCCCATTTGTGCTGATCGCTGTCTGTTGTTGTTGTTCTTGTCCAGGAATCTTCATCACCTCTGTTTTCTCTATGTTCACATGAAGGAAGTCCTATCTTTGATTCTTGTTCTGCCAACTTGTTGCCTTTCGCTTGCATATCTTCCAGTTTGTGGGAAATCAGACATATATCATCGGCGAAGTCTAGATCCTCCAAGTTTTTTGTGTGAGTCCATTTTATGCCTGTTTCCTCATTGCCTGGCCCGCTGTTTGTCGCATTATCCAGTCTACTGCAATCAGGAAAATCATTGGCGATAGTAGGCAGCCAGCCAGCCTTATCTTACTCCTGTCCTCACTTCGAAGGATTCCGTAAGTTTCCCGTTGTGGATTACTTGGCATGCAGCATTGTCGTACAGCTGTTGGATGAGATGTATAACTGTCGGTGGCACCCCATAGTAGCGAAGTAGTTTCCAAATCACCTCTCAATCGACACTGTCAAAGGCCTTTTCAAAGTCGATGAAGTTGAGATAGAGAGGTGACTGCCATTCCAAGCTTCGTTCAATGGTGATCCGTAATGTGGCGATCTACTAGTGTAAAACTGTTTAAGTATGCACACTTCTCATAATACCACTGAACTTTTGAATAATATTCGATGGATTAAAAGATATTGTTAAGGCATATTTAACTTATTTTCATCTCTATAACGTTTCGAGTGGGGAACATGTGGTTTCAAGCTATTTTTGGAAGTTTCAGTAGCTGAAGTGTTGAGTTTGTCATCCTTATGCACACAAGCTTCTTTCTTTTACGCGTTTGTGCCTAAGAAGTTGCGAATCGAGATCTGACCACGTGAGTGTGTGTCGTTATCGAACACTCTACCATGGGATCACCGCACGTGTCTCCAACCTGCTGCATCAGAAGCATAATTTACAATTTCTGCTTTTTTTCCTCCTTTTATTTTGACCAGAAAACTCCACAGACCATCAATTTATCCATACAATAGTTCAACTGATAAGTCAATCTCATTTACTAAACTACATAACCCTGGAAAATCAAATACTCGTCTCCGACAATCAAATGAATCTCTGTCAAGGAGTGCGTATGGCCCATATAATTCTAGAAGGAAAGTAGTCGCATCTGCGACACAGTCTACTGCTTATCTGCCTATTTCTTGAAGTTTAAATGTCAAGACATAAAAACTGACCTTCAAGTTATATGAAGTAAGTGAATATATGATTTGTTCTAAGCCATGCATGCAACTTAAGCCTTGAAGTATCTGAGTACAAGAGAAACATACGTATTTTGAGTCTAAGATGGCATCCAGTCTATCTAGACTTTGTAATTATTAACGCTTATCAGGGAGGGACATTTGCTATCCTGAATGCTAGCGAGCATTCTAACACCCTCCAGGCAGTAAAGGTGGCAGGTGTTGATAAAATCCACCTATGATCTGTTGGGATTTCTGTCAAACAGCACACGGGGAAGGTCTTTTAACCACATAGAAGCACCCGGTTATTTGATCTAAGTGTTGAAAATTCTCATTTTGTTCTGTATGCTAAGTGCCAAGTTGTCTTCTGGAGTCCTGAACAGAATAAGTTTATTTCTTCTCTACTCTGAAATTTGCAAACGAGTTACTAGGCCCCCGTCTTAATTTCCCTGATTTCCGGGCTTAATGCTAGCTAATAAATTAGGCGAGGTTAATCACTTTTTTACTGGCAGTACTTTCACCACCTATCTTTTTACATGCAGCTTTGCAAGTAACCAGTATTATTTTATTTTAGACACTTCTCAAGTGGAAGTAATTCACTACACAGCTTGTCAGCTGAACACTTGCTCCTTTCCTATGTATTTCTCAGTTTTCGTAACCACTGCTTGTTTAGAACTCTAAACGAGTTGTTGAAATCCTAACACCATCAAAGTTTCCAATCCACCTGCCATTCAGAGTTGAACCCTAAGGCTTGTGACATGTAATTCACTAATTGAAACTGCCAATACTATATTACAGAAAGAATTCAGCTTTCATTTGAAACCTGATTTCTCCACAGACCGATATCGACCAGTTAGCACTGGCCAGGCAGTCTAACCACCTGGAAATCTCTTCCAACCTAATCCTATATCAGCCAACATTCCTCGACGAGGAAATTGACCGCTTGTTATGTGCACCATAAACCCTAACCATGACGACCTACACAGCTTCACAAACTCATCTATGAATTCTCCTCTACTGCTTAACACTCACTGCACTCTTTACCTCAAAACTATCACTAACCACATTATACCACTAAACAAAAATGATAAAATTCACTGAACAGTTTTGAGACTCTCTTCAATACAGCTCACCTCATCTTCGAAGTCAGTTAGATTTGTTGCTCTTAGTTTGTTATTGTTTATTTACATTTCTTTGCGTCTTTGTTTTTTTTATCGAATTTTTCAGCCTTACTTCAAATAAAACAATCCTGTCGACTTTCTAATGTCTAAAAATACCTATTATTACTATTAATTAATGATTACACTGAAATCCAGTGTCGCCTTTCATCATAAACACTGACTAGTTTTCATGTGCTTCCAATCATTCCTTGTCTCAAACTGATGACGCTGTAACACCTCAACTATTCGCTAATGAATATCCGTTTAATTAGATCGTGTGTTTATTTTTATTTTTCGTGTTTTTTTTCTCTGGGTCTACCTACTGACCGAATGAAAACTGTTATTTCTATGCTCTCATGAAAGGCAAATCAATCGATCTACTTATACACAAACACACACACAGACAATCAACATGTCTCTGCATGACTCAAGCAGTACAGTATACACAAATATCTTTTGGACACTTAATATACATAATATATCATTATCACACACAAATACACGCATTATAGGTATATATGGTTATGTATGCGCTGGCTTAGCAACACGTGGGAGTTGAGTAATATTTCTTGTATGATGTAACACTCTTTCAATTGTTAAAACCTCTTCGTTTTCATTTGAAAACATAACACACACATAAAAATGAATACGCGTCTTTATTCTGTTGAAATGCTTCTATTATCTTAATTGTATTGACGCTTAATAAAATACAAGGACACACACACACACACAAACATTCAGCAGATGAACAAAGAGACGGAGTAAAGAGATTCAAAGGACTGTACAATTCTCGTATTGTTATTATTAATAATATTGCGTAGATGAAATAAGGCAGTTTATCTCTTTTTCCTGGTTGGTAAACTGAAATAAATAAAAAATATATATATTTTTCGGTATGAATGAAGGTTGTGTGCTTATTTATTATTATTATTGTTCCCTTAGGTTCCTAGTGAAACACAGGGCTTCAACTGCACGTCTCCACTTGCTCCTGTCTTCTGCTGTACTTTTCACCTGCATTCATCTTAGTCCATACTGCTTCAGCTCCTCTTCACACGATCTTCTCCATGTCACCCGTGGACGTCCCACTCGCCGCTTCCCTTTCGGCTTCCACTCGAGTGATGGCCTGACGCGCAATGTCACCCAATGGCCTCCTCAGCGAGTGTCCAATCCATCCATCTCCACCTTCTCCTGCATATTTGTTGGGCGATTGGTTCCTGTTTTGTTTGTTCTCATAGTTTCTTGTTTGTGATTCTTTCCGGCCATCTGATCTTGAGTATAGAGCGAAGACAGCTGTTGATAAAGGTCTGCAACAGGCTGTTGGAAACATTCTTTGTTACCTGCCAAGTTTCTGATCCGTATAGAAGAACTGACTGACTTGATGTTTGTATTGAAAATCCGTATTTTGTTGTAGATGCTGAGTGACGAAGATTTCCAGATTGGTTTCAGGTTGATGAATGTATTTCTCGCCTTCTCGATTCTCGATTTGACATCTTAAATTCTTTCATTGTCGTACTGATGAAGAGTCCAAGACTATGACGAAACAACCGCTGGCTTTCCAATGGTTCTCTAACTGATATCAGTTCATGGGCAAACCTGTAACCAATCAAATCACCTCCCTCAGATCAACACTTGATAATTATGCTGACGCTCACTAGCAGTTGGTTCTGTGCAGGAAGTTACTCGGAGTTCTAGTGAGAAGTTTTGACCAGCTCAAATCAGGCGAAAGAACAGTTGTTCACCAGTGACATTAATTGGCTGTTGCGCTAGGTTCGTAGAACTGTTAAACATAACATCTATCTTTACGATAATAGCCAATTATTCTGTGGATACATTTTTTTCGCGTAGAATAACAGATCGTGCGTCGGTGGCATAGCGGTTAGGATGCTCGCCGGCCATGCGCATGGTCTGGGGTTCGATCCCCAGCCGACGCACTCCTTTACCTCGCTAGGCCAGAAATAATGCTGGTGAAGAGGAAAGGTTGGGCATGAGGCTAGCAACACCATCCTGTAAAATAAACACTTCTACAGAAACTTCAAGCCACTAACTTGAAGCCCTATGTTCCACTGGGGAACGTGAAGGAATAAAAAAAAGAATAACAGATTAGTAGTTGGAAGATGACAAATTGTATACTATTCCTGTGACAAATGTGATGGACTGAATGCAGTCACGAAATATCATGTAATGCGAGACGACGGTGATTTTGGTAACAAGTCATTGATAAATTCATACAATGTGGCGAACGGAAATTGACAAGTCAGTTAGTTCAAGGTTATAAAAGGTGTCAGTTGATTGGCTAGAACAAAGTAGCATGCATTGAATAGGAGATGGTAAGGCTACAGTGAATAGTTCATCATGAAATAATCAGTATGTGAAGTGAAACAAATGGAGTCGTATATTGAGAAAAGATATAATTTCACTCATAATAAATCAAGATGGAAAAATTGATAATACTGAAGGGATGAATTGTACACATTTTTTTTATGATTTCACTGAGTGTGAGTACGAATGAGGATTGACGGACGGTATGTGAACTCTTGATAATTTCTTGGTTGATTATTCCCTTACTGTAATAGTTAAATCCAGAAGGCTCCTACAGTAGTGGGTGGCAACGTGTATTTCCAAATCAGATGAAAGAGAAAATTACCAAGAGTGCAAAAATATATGGCATATATTGACCCACGAGGCACGAGGCTCAACATGTGATTTGTTTTTGTTTGTCTGGTAGACTAGTAAGATAGATTATGGACATTTCATACACTCATTCCCCTTTTATGCAGCTAAATAAAGCTAGAACAACAGTTTGTGCTGAATAAGATGGCACCATCATTTATTTCGTGCGCTTCTCATCAGTCACATACAGGGTAAAAAAACTATTGAGTTTATGAACAGAAAAATTTAAACATACTTACAAATGGTACATGACGTCAGTTGACAGGAGACTCCGAACAGTGCTCAGAAAATTACACATATATAGTTTTCACCCATAGTGTTCAAGATTCTCGACAAATGTCAGACTGAAGCACTGAAGAGACAGATTGTGGACACATCAAAAATATCAAACATCGCGTATAAAATTGTTTTGAACTGAGAGGAAGGGAAATAAATAATCAAAAAATGGTTAGGAAAATGGGAAAAGAGGAAAAGGCACTATTGGGAAGGAGAACTTTTAATCTGAGTTCGGACACTCCTGGGAAAAAATCTAAATGTGGTCATTTCTAGTAATAAGTTCTAGTTTAGTCAACCTTATTGTAACAGCTCCAGCTGTATATACAGAAGACGTAGGCGAACTGAGAGTGATAGTGATTTCACAATTCGGCATGTGGTCCTGAAGGCTATATCGACGTCGGTGATGTCATGTATATCTACCAAGCGCCATAAAATTGAACTTTGTTTGCATTTGATTTCTCTATTCATGAAGCAGGAAGGTAAGTGTCCTCGTATCCGTAGACAAACCTACCTAATCCTGTAGCTTGCCTACATAATCTCAACCATCAGAATTGGTAAGATGGTGTATGCATGTAGAGGAGTTGTTGAGATTAGAACAGACAGTTTTCAGTTTTGAGGACACCAATGGACAGCTACTGAAAATTTAGGATCAATTGGAGTTTAGCCGTAAGGATCGTCTTGCAAACTGATTTAGAAAGAAGCATAATCACCTTGGAATTCCACATTCACGAAGACAATTTTCCTTGGAAATGCGTTAGTGACCAGTTTAGAGAGTTTATGTTTCGTGTTTCCACGGAAGGAATTTCAGCATCAACGCAGGCAAAACTACAAATATTTCTTAGGCCCGGGTAGAGGGAATGAA